CAAGATTGCCCCAGGGGTTTAAAAATTCACCTACCCTATTTGGTTCAGCTCTAAGTCAAGATCTACTAGATTTCGAGTCTATCCCAGGAGAGTGTGTATTATTACAATATGTAGATGACTTGTTGATAGCAGCAGTTACAAAGGAAGTATGTCAGCAAGCAACGCACGATCTACTACACATTCTCTGGAAGGCAGGATACAAGGTGTCAAGAAGGAAGGCTCAGTTGTGTTTGCCAACTGTCAAATATCTGGGATTCCATATCTCTGAAGGTCAAAGAATTATGGGGCCAGAGAGAAAAGAAGCTGTGTGCCAAATACCGATACCCAGGAATAGAAGACAAGTGCGAGAATTCTTGGGGGCAGCAGGCTTCTGTAGGATATGGATTCCCAGCTACGCGATACTGGCAAAACCTCTGTATGCAGCTATCAAAGGTACAGAGCACGACCCCTTCTTATGGACTCAAGAACAGCAAACGGCATTCGAAGATGTGAAGAGGGCTTTGATGAGTGCCCCAGCATTAGGTCTACCTGACCACACACGGCCATTCTACCTGTATGTACATGAGCAAAGAAGAATGGCTGTGGGAGTATTGACACAGTACTTGGGATCATGGCAAAGACCTGTTGCCTACATGTCTAAGCAACTGGATGCAGTGGCCAGCGGACTTCCACCTTGTCTAAGAGCCGTAGCTGCAGCCGCCCTGCTAGTAGCTGAAGCCGATAAACTCACTCTGGGTCAAGAACTTTATGTACGAGTTCCACATGCAGTACAGACGTTGTTGGATTACAAAGGAAATCATTGGTTTAGTAACAGCCGTATGACCAAGTATCAAGCAATGTTGTGTGAAAACCCAAGAGTGCATTTAGAGACTGTAAATACCTTAAATCCAGCTACCCTTTTGCCACAACCTACTGAAAGTCAACATGATTGTTTGGAAGTAATGGATGAAGTATTTTCAAGTAGACCAGATCTTCGTGATTTTCCCATCCAGAACCCTGATGTTCAATATTACACCGACGGCAGTAGTTATGTAAAAGAAGGGATCCGCTATGCAGGATATGCAGTAACAACGATAGACAAGGTGATAGAAGCTCGGCCACTGGCAAAAGGAACATCAGCACAAAAGGCAGAATTGATAGCACTGACACGAGCGTTACAATTGGCTGAAGGTTTAAGAGTGAACATCTACACGGACTCCAAGTATGCGTTTTTAACCACTCATGCCCACGGAGCTTTGTATAAAGAAAGAGGACTATTGAATTCAGAAGGCAAAGAAATCAAATACGCAGCTGAGATCCTACAACTATTGGAAGCAGTGTGGGAGCCGAAAGAAGTCGGTATTATACATTGTCGGGCGCATCTGAGAGGAGATGGTGATGTAACCAAAGGGAATCGGATGGCAGATAGTGCAGCTAAGCGTGCTGCTGAATCAGGAAGACAGGAATATGTGGGGCATATAGCTGCTCTTATACCAACTCCACTGTCTCAATGGACTCCAATTTATACAGCTCAAGAAGAGGAGTGGTTAAGGACTGAACCTGGAAAGTATTTGGAGAACAAATGGTATCAGTTAGAAGATGGAAGAATAGTTATTCCAGCATCACTAGCGGTAGAAATTGTCCAAAACTATCATAACGGGACACATTCTGGGAGAGACAGTACAGAAGAATCTCTCAGAAAACATTTCTACATACCAAGATTGTCCAACTTGACTCAGGCCATTGTACGTAGATGTGTAACGTGTGCTAAAAATAATGCAAGACAAGGACCAGTAAAGCCACCAGGAGTCCAGTTTATGGGGGGACTTCCCATGTCCGATTTACAAATTGACTATACAGTGATGCCTAAATCGGGTGGACATCGCTACCTGCTGGTAGTGGTGTGCACCTATTCAGGCTGGGTAGAAGCATGTCCTACTCGTACAGAGAAAGCAGGAGAAGTCGTGAGATTCCTGCTACGAGAAATAATACCCCGATATGGACTACCCTGCTCTATAGGATCGGACAATGGTCCAGCTTTTGTTCATCAGTGCCTACAACAATTGACTCATATGCTTGGTATAAAGTGGAGGCTTCATACGGCATATAGACCCCAGAGTTCTGGTAAGGTAGAGAGAATGAATAGAACTATTAAGAATCAGTTGGCTAAAATGTGTCAGGAAACCCAACTTAAGTGGAACGTTCTCTTGCCCATAGCTCTATTGCGAATCCGTAGTACACCTACCAGAAGGATGGGCCTCTCTCCTTTTGAAATCATGTACGGGCGACCACCTCCCGTGCTTGGTAACTTAAGGGGGGATTTGAGTCAGTTGGGAGAAGGAATTACCCGGCAGCAGGTTGTAGAGTTGGGTAAGACTATGGAGGAGGTACAGAAATGGGTACAAGATAGATTACCTGTGAATATTTATCCCCCAATTCATAGTTACCACCCAGGCGACCAAGTGTGGATTAAAGAGTGGAATAATGTGCCGTTAGGGCCCAAGTGGAGAGGTCCTTATGTTGTTCTTCTGTCTACCCCTACAGCGATAAAAGTAGCCGAAGTGGCTCCGTGGATACATCACTCCAGGGTTAAACCAGCAGCAGCCGATTCCTGGCAAGTTACAGCAAATCCAGAGAATCCCTGCAAGATCCGGTTAAAACGCACGACTCAGTCGGAGTGACGAGGAACCTTGTGGATTATAAATTTTATTGTTTCAGAGACTTGGTAAGTGAGTGAGAAGGCCATAATAAAGCCTGTCCACTCACCAACGAGTGTATAAGTCAGGGAAAGTCTTGAGGGGACCCCTGTGAAGACGAGCAGAACTCCATTCCCTGCAGTCCTTACATCCTGGAAGCTGAGGTGCCTTCACACGGACGAAGACTGAGGATGACGACGAAAGATGTATTTTTAATAATGTTTATTTATGTGTATTTTTATATTCAGGAAGGTAGAGGTACCAACACTCCTAGCTGTGAGGTATGCATTAAGACTACAAGAACAGGTAACCATATATCCCAGACCCTAATTTGGCATTCGCAATATGAGTGTAAAGGAGATGTATCAAGATGTAGATACTTAAATATAGAATATAGTGTGTGTCATTTAGGAGTAGGAGAACCTAAGTGCTTCAGTCCTGAGTATCAACCCCGTACAATTTGGTTGACTCTCAGAAATGGAGATTCTCAGGGGACCCTAATTAATAAGACGGTATTAAAATCCGTATATTCTTCAGGTGCTCTGCTATTTGATGCGTGTAAAGCAATATCAAGTGGTAGAAAGCCGTGGAATGTATGTGGGGATCTTAGATGGGAGAGGACGTATGGGTCTAACGATAAATATATTTGTCCCAGTAGTAAAAATAAATATGTAAGTCCAAGATGCCCAAATAGAGATTATAACTTCTGCCCATATTGGTCTTGTGTGGGGTGGGCGACTTGGGGACAGACAGCAGACAAGGACATGATTGTGACTAAGTTGCCTACTGATCCATATTGTAAGTCTATGGAATGCAATCCAATCCATATACTTATAAATAACCCTGACAAGTTCTTAGATAAATATGGTAATTTATTTGGGTTTCAAATATATGGGACGGGTTTAGACCCTGGGACAATATTGTTTATAGGGATAGAGACTGATACGGTAACCTCCCAAACTCATCAAGTATACCATTCCTTTTATGAAGAGATGAGCATAGATAATAAGATCCCCCATAATGCTAAAAACTTGTTCATTGATTTAGCCGAGAGTATTGCCGGTAGTCTTAATGTTACCAACTGCTATGTGTGTGGAGGTACTAACATGGGAGACCAATGGCCTTGGGAAGCAAAGGAGGTAATGTCCGGTTCTGAGGCAGTTGACCAATTAATATCTACACAAGCCGACTATCATATGAGTGTTAGAGGTAAATCTGAGTGGAGATTGAAGACCTCCATCATAGGTTATGTTTGCATAGCGAGGAAAGGAATGATGTATAATACTTCTGTAGGAGAATTAACTTGTCTAGGGCAAAAAGCTTATGATGATGATACAAAGAATACAACTTGGTGGTCGGCTTCAAATGTCTCAGAACCATCTAACCCGTTTGCAAGATATGCCAATTTAAAGGACGTATGGTTTGATCTATCCATCACATCTAACTGGAGAGCCCCAGCGAATTTGTACTGGATCTGTGGTAAGAAGGCCTATTCGGAGTTACCACAGGACTGGGAAGGGGCATGTGTGTTGGGTATGTTAAAACCATCCTTCTTCTTGTTGCCTATTGAAACAGGTGAGACTTTAGGTGTTAAAGTGTATGATGTGAATCATAGGAAGAAAAGGGGACCCATAGAGATAGGTGCCTGGGAAGATAATGAATGGCCTCCCCAGCGTATTATAGATTATTATGGGCCAGCCACGTGGGCAGAGGATGGTACCTTTGGTTATAGAACCCCTATTTATATGCTCAACCGCATTATAAGGTTACAGGCGGTGGTTGAGATCATTACTAACGAGACATCACAAGCGCTCAATCTTCTAGCGAAGCATAATACCAGGATGAGGACAGCAGTTTACCAAAATAGATTAGCCTTGGATTATCTTTTGGCAGTAGAGGGAGGTGTATGTGGGAAGTTTAACCTGAGCAATTGCTGTCTTCAAATAGATGACGAAGGGCAAGCAATAGCTGAGCTTACTAGCCATATGGTTAAACTAGCGCATGTGCCTACTCAGGTATGGAAAGGGTACAATCCAAGTAGTTGGTTTGGTAGCTGGTATGAGTGGTTTGGAGGGCTTAAGGCAGTGGTAGGTGGAGTCCTACTGATTTTAATGTTGTGTCTACTCCTGCCGTGTCTTATACCCTTAGTAGTTAGGTCTGTGCAAAGCCTGATAGAAAATATAGCAGAGAGGAAGGCTGCTGCACAGATAATGGCAATTTATAAATATAAGGCTCTAGATCAGGGAGAACCAATGCAGGAAGACGAGTGTTGAAGATTCACATCATAGGATAAGTCTGGTCTGGTTCAAAGGTAACTTGTGGTGTATGCAAACCAAGGTTAAGTGATGCCTCAAGTAATTGTAAAATATCAAGAGGCATCAAAGGGGGGAATGTGGTGGAATCTCGGTAAAAATAAATTTAGTAGGCCGAGATTACCACGTGGCATGTGTACGTGCATATGCTGACATATCGATCAGTTGGTTGCACGAGGCAAGATACAATCAGTAGTGTACGGAGCATGTGCAAGAATACAGGATGTAGTATTCCCCTCCTCCATTGTGCTGGACAAGCCATGCGGTCAAGCAGGAAGTTAATTCTTATTTGTAATGATTGGTCAAGAGAATGTGCGGGTGGAGCTTAATATGGGAGGAGTTATGTGCCTATATAGGGAGCCTGCACTATTGTTCAGGGCTCAGAACTTGCTGTATTTTTGGTGACATTAGTCCCTCTGAGTCCCGATCGGTGATCCAATAAAGAATCTCTTCCTTCCTGAAGAAACCTGTGTCCATCTCTCTGTGCTTTGCTTCCGTCAGTTTCTCCGGTATCAAAACTATGACACAATTAAGTGAATAGCAAATGGCTTTGCAGCATCCTTTGTTTCCTATGGAGAGCTTGTTACTCTGTCATAATCTTTTACTAACTAATGTTATAGCAAATTTGCAGCAGTTAACAAATTGCATGTTTGGCCAAAAAAAAAAAAAAAAATCAACTGGCAAAGCTGAGATGGACACTTTTTTAATATTAGCTTTTTCTTTCCCGCCCAAAATTTGGTTTGAACTTAATAAACTTTTGCTGTTTAGTGAATAAATCCCAAAGCTTTCAGTGAAAAGCTAATGTTGCTTTGTTTTTATTACTAGTTTCTTTTCCAAAGGTGTTGAGAATAGGAGAGAGTGAGAAAAAAAAAGATAGATTTAAAACATTCCTTCAGAGCAAACTGAACAGATGACTTTTTGGAATGCAAGCCACGTTAATGTGATGCAGATAATCAGGCCATCCACCTTAATAGGGCAAATATTGGGCAACAGATTTCTTTCTATTAAAATAAATGGGTTTAATGCTGCTTTAATGGGACACCCCTTATCAAATAAGCCCTTAAGGGTAGGATTTCTTCTGCCTTAATTGCTCCTATTATAGGTGTGAATAGTGCAGCTCTCTCCTACTGTGCAATTTGTAAATGATCCATCAGCTTATAACAGCTTGTTAACATCCTCTTTTCCTGCTTCTCAAGGCACCCTCCTGCTCACAGCAGCAACACTTTCTTCTGATCCATTATATTCCCTGCTCCCGTGACCCTGCCTGACATTTTCTTTTTCATGCATACAAAACATAAAATGATTGTATTCATAAAATCTTGTACGTGACACACACACACATATATATATGTATATATATATATATATGTATATACTCACACACATGCGCGCATAGACACATACATATATAAATATATATAAACGCACACGCAAACAGACACCACACACACACATTTATAAATATATATATATATATACACACACTCACACGCACACACACACACACAGACAACACACACATATCTATATACATACTTTGCATGGGTTTGTGAATGCAAGTTTTTAATAGGTTAGAGCTACTATATGCACTTCTTTAGGGCATCACTGAGGCTTCCTCAAGGCTAGTAGGAATTATACTTTTGAGGCTGCAATTTGATGGCAGCTTGATTCTTCCTCCTCAGATCCTTTTCCAGCATGTCACTTAAGGACAATAGCTGCAAATAGTTGTGTCTGCCAATGAGTGTAATCTTGGCCAGACAGGGACATGTATCCCAGTGCTGCTCTAATATAAAAAAAAAGGAACAGCCATAGAACTTAACAACGTTAAATAAAAAATCTGTATTGTAAAAGACACATGAGAATGAAGTGTATGTATATACCGTGTTTCCACGAAAATAAGACATAACCCGAAAATAAGCCCCACTGCGTTTTTCAATAGAAAATTTATATAAGACCCAGTCTTATTTCAGGGAAAGATGGTATGTGTGTGTATATATATATATATATATATATATATATATATATATACAGCTTTGTGTTTCAAAGCAATCCATGTTTAAAATGGAATGACCCAAAAATTTGATTCTTTGTTAAACTAATTTGCATATGCCCACCCAGAATCCTGTGCGGTTGTAATATCAATGCAAATTTGTGATTTTTGTGGGAAAAACAAGTCTTATGGCTTGACTGGTGTGCAGGTTTTTGTTTAACATTGTGTTAACGATATATATATATATATATATATACACACACAATTAAAATAAGCTTGTCACTTCACCAAAATTGTCAGATAAAGTATCAGTTGCCTGGGTGATGAAGCCCACATTTAAAGATCTTGAAAAAGACCCGAATGGGCTGAAACGTTGATTGATTTTTGTACACAGTAACAATGAATATTCAATAAATACACCAGTTATCTTCAATTCAAGACCTGTTAGTGCACCCTGATTTTTTGTTTGAGATATATATATACACATAGCGAGAGAGAGAGAGAGAGAGAGAGAGAGAGAGAGAGAATAATTTCGTTACACACAAATAAATAAATATATAAATATTGGTCTTTCCATCCTCTTGGGTTTGAGAAGCAGCAGGTTGTCAAGCTTATATTGGCTCCGGTACTGCTTTGGGAGGGAAGCAATGCTTGGCTGCTCCTTCTGGATCTGTTCAGAATATTAACAGATATTTAAAGTAAACATTTAGACATGAGCTAGATTTAGAGCTAGCATATGAAAGCAAATTGTGACAGACTATTACTCCATATTGTGCAATCAAAATAACACATACACATTAGGTTCACCTAATCACCTATCCACTTGGTACGTTATGGTAATGCCGATGTTTGGATAGGAAAATCTAACAATTGTAACAATGCCACTTTAAGGTACTACCTAACAAAGTCAGATTCGCCTATTACAGGATGGGTTATGATGAGAAATTGGCAATTAAGACAGCAGTGGCTCAGATCCAGAACTGACAACAATTGGTACCAGCAAGGGCTAAGTTATACACATAGGTGAAAGAAAATAGATAAGATATCTCATGGATTATATGAGCTATAAAGCCTTGTTACAGCCTATTACAATGAACTATAATACATTGTTACATCGTTTTATAATTAAAGCACCAGCCTTGTCACATCAGGTCTTTACCTACATTTTTCTATTTATTGAAGTGTTTCTGTAATGGAGGTCTGGTCCCAGATCCTTGGCAGAGTAGTAAGTAACATTGTATATGCATATCTGTAATAGAAGAGTAATGGTCAAATAACATAAATTGGAAGCCGATATTGACATAATCTTTGTGCTTGAAATGTATTTTTTACTTTTATTGGTCTTCGGAATGAGTTATGTTTGATTTTACGATTGAGGGCTGATTTACAGTCATGTCACTACTTATTACTAGCCATTTACTGACAGATGTTACATATAGCAGTAAGGGGTTATCAGCTTCCACTACTAAAAGCTGTTTGCATAACTCTCTATGGGAGTAGCTTACTTATGCCTCGTTTCCACTGAGCGGGTCGGTACAGTTTGGAAGGTTTAGAATGGTCCAGTCTATTCTGGTGAGCGTTTCAACTGCAAGTCAGACCTTCAGGGGCCTTGTGGGGTTTAGAAAAAATGCTCTTCCTGTCCACCAAACAATGGATTGTATAGTAGCTCCATCCTAACCGAACTGTACCATTTCCTATGGCCCTACATCTGAAGCAGGACCCTGAATGGTGCGGTACGGCTCGGTTGTATGGGCCACTTTCATAATGGAAACACTAAAAATAACGAACCGATCCGCTCAGTGGAAACGAGGCATTAGTAACTGTTTTTTGACTGCTGTACAACACTGTTACTACTCAGTACCGGTGCCACTAACCCAGCAAGCAGCCCTAGCCTCTATTTCTGGTACAAAGACATTAACAACAGCTAAATCCCTATTCATCCTATTGAAACAACAAGTTTTGTTCCAATTCAATGCTCTTACTACTTTTTACCGGTTAGCTGCTAATTGTCTGTTGATATAGATGGTGAAGTGCGCATACTCAGGTATGTGTTTCTGTGCTTTACCGGCAAGCCTCTAATATGTGGGTGGTTGGTATATGTAGCTGCAGCTGTTGTTAGTGAAAAGTTACAAAAAAAATGTTGTTACAAGCTACTGCCTGTTGTTAATATTGTAAATGAGTCCAGAGTTGGATTATGATGGCTTTTTATATAAGACCACGTTTTATGCCTGAACAAATAATATCTTCAATTTATAACTATGAGTTATTTTTTCTTTTTGCATTTTTTTGAATTTATTTTGTTAGGTTATAGAGTTCCACCTCCCTCAATAGAGGAAGTGGGGTAGGTAAACTATTTACATATTGAATTTGGAGTGATATGCAATAGGTTTTTAACTAGAGAATATAGTTATGAAGATCTTTGAATTGTTACTGTCTTACCTGGCTTGTGGATCTTCTAAACCCTCTACATTTCTTTACTGAGAGAAAGGAGGAAGTGGTAGTGAGCGGTCATCAGGTCTTGTACCAGTTTTTATATTGCCCTTCACACCATGCACACATGGACAAACATATAGGGGTCATTTATGGGGACCCTAATCAGTTAACGTTTGAATCCATTCCTCCTGGAGGAAGCGGGGATGTAATTTGTCTAAACTTCCCTGATTATTTTTGGGATCTGAGGGATTTAAATTTTTTATTCAGTAAAAATGTGAGTGAGAGAGATAATTTGATTTCTCTTAAGGTGAGAGAGCTGATCATCATTCTCTTGTGACATGACTACAGATATTTGCTGTTCACATAATTCATGTTTTAAGCTCTCTAACCATGACAGAAGAGAGAAACACTGGATTATTTTCCAATGTGATCCTTAAAGGGTTTATTTCACTAAGACTGGTATGCTATGCCTAGAGCTTCCATTTTGTATAATTTCCACCTTTTTTATAGTCGGACAACTGCACTTTCTATCTACTCTATTGCTATAGATATCATTCTAAATTAAAGCTAATTTTTCTATTAAAACTGAAGAGATAGGGGGCGGGGCCTGACCGCCAAGCTGTAGAGATGCATCTTGCATGAGCTCCTCACTACCATTGCCAAAAAGTGATTTTTCGCCCAAATAACCCGAGACAAAATCCAGCTACAGCCTCACCTATCTTAGCACTTAGCAACAAGGTACTACCAAGGTCCGAAGCTGCACCGAAGCCAACAAGCAGCAGACTTGGAGCCATGCGGCCCACTGATCACCGGGCGGGAACCGGGCGGGAGAGGCGTCCGACCTCCCAGCTCAGAGAGGCACAGGGGCACATCATGTAGAGCGGATACCCTGCAACCCCCCATTCTGGACCGGCGGGGGTTATCCCGGTCTAACCCTGGGGGACTACTCTGACCCACACCACAGGGGGAGTGGAGGGATTATAACTCTGAGCACACCCACCGACTCAACCAACATGGCGGATACCGCGAGGAACCCAGACACTGCAGCAATATGGGCAGACATAGAGGTCAGAATAGACAGAGCCTTCACAACATTCTGGCGTAATCTGGAAGAGAGGCTGCAGCTTCAAGCCCAACAAGCAAATGAGCACTCACCTCCACCGACGCAAGTAAACAAGCGACGGACACCTACAATCTCAGCACAGATAAAGGGCCCAAAATGTCCGTGAGGCGGGAAATAGCCAGCACACCGGCTGAGAGTAGCTCACAAAGCACAGCCACTCAAATCCAAGCATCAGACCCGCGGAATACCCAAAGTATTTGATGGAGCACCAAAGGCCGAGGCAGCGACTCACTGCACAGGCACAGAGGCAAAACAGACACTCACCCATCCAGGTATCACTGCTCTAAACCCCTCAGCCTTGCCAGCCTCCCGCCACTCTTACGGGCCAGGGACCCACCTGGAACACAAACCAGGCTGCCGTCCATATTCCCCAGGGGGCCCCAGAGGAATGGAAACCCTGGGGGCACAGGATCTGGCCACTGGCATTAGGCGGATCCATGGACACAGGGCGCTAGCCCCCTTTCAAACCCAGAACGATGGTTGCGGATGATAGTGGCTGGAAGGCCCACTCTGCTCGCAGAACACGCATAGCAGCTGGCTGGAGGAAATGCAGGACAGGCCTGTGAAGAACTACTATGCCCTTGCCTGGACTGTCAAGGACGTTGGGTGAGGAGATCGCGAGACACCCGGAGTGGCTCCACAATAAGCTCCTAATCCCAGAGTTTGACAAAGAGGCCCACTGATTTCCCTTATGTTGCCCTTGTGTTTCCCTTGTGCTTCTCTTATGTCCCCATGTTACTTCTCTCTGCTCCCTCTCTAGGCAGCAATGACACTAGCAAAAGTTCCAAAGTGGTATTTTACTTTGTGATACCTTAAGCTTGTTTATTACTCTTGAAACCCACATGGCAGCATAACAAGCATGACCTAACACACTACTAGTTAAGCATGTATGACATATCTGACCAAGAATGGAAGCCTTCTTGATGCTGCAGAGGCTCTAATGACATAATTAACCAAACTAGTACATACTGTATTAATCTTTACCAAACAATAACAAAAAATGTGCATGTTTCTCATATACCCAAATGTATTACATAAATGTGAAAAGCTGGAGGATTGCCTTTGGGGTACCTCACACGCGAATGTTACATGTCTATGCACTGCAAAATAAATAAATAAATAAATAAAACTGAAGAGATACACAATGTTGTAAATACCATTTAGGTGTACATATTTCACAATGGCAGAAATAAAAATAATTTCAATAGTGAATCAAGCCCCATATATAGATATTTTACCTCCCAGAACATATCACTTTTATAGCTAGAGTCTCCAAAATGTATAAGAAAACATTTTAACATCTATTCCTTCAATTAGACTTTATTTGATCTCATTCAAAAATATTACGTCTTGAGTTAACCTTTCTTTCAAGGGCTCAAACATTTTTTAAAGTTTTTATTTAATGTTTCTAGCCAGTACTTTTATCAAGATAATTTCTTTTCAAATGTAAAAAGTTTATTTGTGAAATGAGACTGAGCACATTTAAATGTCAACGTGGTTAAGAACTAAATGAAGTCTAAAGCAAATACTTATGTGTCTAGATATATTAATAGATATTTCTTTAAAAACAAATTATTCTGACAGAGTGCACTCTGTGGGCTTATCAATGTCAAATAATTTAAACTTTTATTTACACATAGAGCAGAGATTGACATCTCAACCCTGCTATGATCTGTTTTCATGACAATGTGTATATCACAAAACAGAGTTTCAATAAGCCGGGCAAGAACACCAAAATGAGGTAATACGTGATGCGATATTTATATATATAATGTAGTATAAAGAAGAAGCGTTAAGCAAAGGGCTCCTGCCCTCAAGATCCACAACTTAATAATAATTCTGCATGCCAACCCTTCAGTGATTCAACATCCAACAAAATGGATATGGTGACATTTCAGCACCATAGTCAGAAAAATGCACAAGTCAGGGTTATTCTTCAAAGTGAGAATTGCTGAGAATTTAAAATGAATTAAATGTGAATTTAAATGTTAAGGCTAAACTACCTGAATTGAAAGCATAGCTGACTGAGAGTTCTTCCAATTCATCTATTTGGCTTTACGTCCATTTTGAATTCCAAACAATGCTCACTAAATGAATAATTATGAATAGTAGCAAAATGTTGTCAGGTCCACTTGTTGGATGTTTGGTTTCTAACAGGCCTGGAGAGGATGTATGGATACTGCATGTTTGTCTTTCTACAGCTCTTCCTCCAGCATATGAAACGTGGAAGAATGTCTAAATGAATGACAGTAGTGCCGTATAACCTCTTACATACTCTAACTGTGTCCATGGGCCCTTCTTCTGGCAAATCTGTAACAGAAGAGAGACTAAATTAAGTCTTAATGCAGCCCCTGGCATTCAGAACACTAATGTGCAAGTCTGCCTAAGATTAATAGGCATTACACCCCATACTACAGATGTGATTTGTGCCCTTTCCTAGTACTTATCAACATATCACAAGTGGGAGAGGGGCAAAATCAATATTTGTAGTCATAATATCCCAGGGCTGCATAAAGAAGTAAAAAGACATATCTGGTGTCTATGTTTCTTAAAGGTTCAGACTTTTTTTTTTTTTAATCCTTAATTTTTTTATTTGCATAAAGAAAAAACAAAAACACGTACTTTTACAAGTACAAGTGTGATATTTGTTATGCTATGTGACACATGCAATGTTTCTCAATTTGTACATTTGCAATTCAGTAGTACCTCAGTAGACTCTTGCCTCAGGTCTATGGACCCCTTTTGGTTTCAACATGCTAGTCTGTGGGGCTGAGGTATACTTAAAATTAAGTTACTGATCATTTTTGGTATACTTTTTCTTTCTGTCCTGTATCAGGGTGCTTTTAGATGGTTATATTCACGTTGTTCTAGGAGAGGGCTTTCAAACCAGTTCACACTGTCACTGGCTTCCTTGTCTCTCTCTTATGTCTCTCATAAGATTCATACTCCTTTATCATAATCAGTCTCACTAGCCCCTATTGTGTAAACATTGTATTGTATATATAAACCATGTGACCAGTACATTGAATTAGTATGTGTTCCAATACCTCTAAGCTATGTATGAAGTTTGTTGGAAATGAGGAAAATAGCTAATACAAGAGTATTCTTTGCTTAAAACCTGTTGATTGTGTGTCTATGCATGTGACTGTGTGACTATATTTCTATGTAACATGTACCCTAATGGAAGTGAATTAGGCGAATTAGGGATAACAACACACAAGAAGGAATTGTTATAGACAACAAACTATGCAACAATGTGCAATGTCAGTCGGCAGTGGCTAAGGCCAGTAAGGTATTGTCATGCATGAAAAAGGCATTAATTCTCAGGATTAGAATATAATTGTGCCTCTTTATAAATCACTGGTAAGACCACATCTTGAATATGCTGTGAAATTTTGGGCACCTGTTGTAAAGAAGGATATTATGGCACTAGAAAGAGTGCAGCGGTGTGCTACAAAATTAATAAAAGGAATGGAACATTCTAGCTTTCAAGAAAGGTTAACAAATTTAAACCTCTTTAGTTTAGAAAAACGTTGCCTGAGAGGGGATATGATAACATTATACAAATATATTCGGGGCCAATATAAACCATTGTGTGTAAATCTATTCACAAACCGGACTTTACATATGACACGAGGTCATGCGTTTTGACTGGAAGAAAGAAGATTTCGTCTAAGGCAAAGGAAAGGTTTTTTTACCGTAAGAACAATAAGGATGTGGAATTCTCTGCCTGAAGAAGTGGTTTTATCAGAGTCCATACAGATGTTTAAACAGCAACTAGTTGCATACTTGCAAAAACAGAATATTTAAGTTTTCAACTGTGCGGTGATAACTGATTGATCCAAGGGTAAATCTGACTTTCATTCTGGGGTCAAGAGGGATTTTTTTTCCTAGTTTGTTGCAAAATAGGAAGTGCTTCAAACTGAGTTTTTTTTGTGCCTTCTTTTGGATCAACAGCAAAAAACAAATGTGAGGAAGGCTGAACTTGATTGACACATGTCTCTTTTCAGCCTATGTAACTATGTATGTGATTGCATGTATGATTCCATGTCTCTATATGTATACATGTGTCTGTATATGTATGTGTGAGGTCTTTATGTGTATCTTCCTTTTTGTATAAAAAAAAGAGATTGTCCCAACTCAACAACCAAGAGAAGCTCACCCACAGGGAGTGGGATACTTTCAATTTGGAGGCAGAAATAGCTAAATCGCTCTCACTTACCTGTAAGACATCTATCTGCTTCTGAATAACTTTTTAGGTTCTTATTTTCTGAAGAACACCTGACAAGTATCCTTGGGTAATACACTCTACTACAGAAAATAGAGGATCTTTTGAACTTTTTACTTTATTTTTTCTACCATGATAGTGCTCCAAAGGTTTACTCAAAATCAATCTGCTACAAATATTAGATTTTCCTATTCCATCTTTATTGGAGTAATAGCTTAACATGATCTGGACTGCAAATAATGAAGCATCCATGTAAGCACCAACCAAGCACTTAATTGCTGCTCCAGTATTCATAGACAATATTAGCATGAGCAAAACAGCCTCACTGAGGTCTAAGTGAATTCAATGTGATTTTCAAGGGGTGAGATAGTCCTATTTAGACAAATTCTCTAAGTCAATTCTGTTATCAGTTTGGCTATTTTGGCTTTAAATTTGAAATTCTATTTGAATTCACGCTGATATCCTTGCAGTTGTCACTTTATTGAATAAGCCTGTTAGAAAATATTTCCGGTTTGACTTTTTTTTACTATTAATTTGAAATTTGCTTTAAATCCACTGTGATAGGGATAAAACTATCCTAGATATAAGCGACTAATGCAAGTATTAAGAAAATTGGGCAGACAAGATAGGCCGAATGGCTCTTATCTGCCGTCACATTCTATGCTCAACTTCAACTGTTCAGCAGAAAGCTGTTTCAATTGGTTGTTAATTAATCAATTTACAATCTTTATTTAAATTTTATTCTTAATCTATATACTATGTTCTCATTTCATATTCAATTATATTTGTAACCTATTTTTAAGTTGATTTGAATCTCA